GAGTGAGAGTGAGTGAGAGTGAGTGAGAGTGAGTGAGAGTGAGTGAGTGTGAGTGAGTGAGTGAGAGTGAGTGAGAGTGAGATTGAGAGTGAGAGTGAGAGGAGTCTAGTGAGTGAGAGAGTGAATGTGAGTTTGAATGTGAATGTGAGTGTGAGTGAGAGTGAGAGAGCGAGAGAGTGAGCCTGCCACGAAATCTGCACTCCAAGGTTGACAAAGTGCTGCGCCTGCCACCAAATCTGCACTTCAAGGTTCACAAAGTGCCGGGCCTGCCACGAAATCTCCGCTTCTAGGTTCACAAACTGTTGCGCCTGCTAAGAAATCTGCAGTTCGAGGTCCGCAAAGTGCCGCGCGTGCCACGAACTCTGGACTTTGAGTTTCACAAAGTGCTACGCCTGCCACGAAATCTGCACCGCGAGGTTCGCAAAGTGCCGCGCTTGCCACGAAATCTGCACTTCGACCTTCACAAAATGCCACGAAATCTGCACTTCGAGGTTCACAAAGTGCTCCGCCTGTCACGAACTCTAGACTTTCAGGTTCACAAAATGCTGCGCCTGCTCCGAACTCTAGACTTTGAGGTTCACAAAGTGCTGCGCCTGCCACGACATCCGCATTTCAAGATTGACATGACGCAGCCCTGCCAAGGCGTTTTGCCCCAAGAGCGCTTCCAAAGACAACATCAAGATACCAAAACGCAGCTTTTGCGCGAGAGTTCCCCCGATTTCTGAAAACGACCCACATGTCCAAAAGTCACGATTCACTACACCTGTCATGAAATTAGAGAGCGTCGAAGATCAGCACCATGTCCAAAGTGCGGCGACTGCCACGAAGCTGCACTTCGAACTAAAACCGCTCCGATTCCTTGTGCCTGTCACGAAAAGATGACTTTGGACCACCAAAACACAAGGTTGCCCTTGCTCCTGCCACGAAAAGTGACCACCATGTCCGAAAATGCCATATGGCGCCACAACGAGAGCGCAGTCGCGACAAGCACCCGCTCCAGCCAACCAGATTTTGCAGCCTGCGCAGTCGAAATGCGCTTTGAGGATTTCGAGAGGCATGAATGCGTTGTAAATAGCAGCGAATTAGCCGGACACGTCGGCGTGACACCTGGATTAGACACCGGTGCTTAACAACTGATGTAAGAACATCTAGTGTGACCACATTGCTTGGGGAAAACACACAAACTCAGGCAGTGATTTGCGTGTTTATGTCGAAATCCAGGTTTGTTGTGCTTGCGTTTGTTCTGTCGGACGAGCACCGTGCAGAAGAGCGGCGTCGATCAGCCGTATGAGCCGATCGAGGCGAATAGCACCTCAGCGGAGATCGTCCCTGTGACCCGGCGCAGGAGTTCAGGTAACCCTGATTTCAGGTGCCTTTTAACAAAGGGTTTGATGGAAAGAGAATTCGGAGAGCAAGGAAGCGCTGTCACGCACCTTTGAGCTGTCCAGATGTAATATTTTTATATATTACCATAATTAACCATCTATAGGTATGCCAGTTGTGCATGTATAGTTTTTTCATATGAATACGTCTCTATAATTCTCCATATACAGTATGTTGATGGAGGTGTGGTGGTTGGTGGCAAATATGCAATTGTGTTTTTTAAAGACCCGGTCCGATCTCTCAACCTCGCTCAATGGTCCTTGTCGAGCTCTCGATGTTGAGGTGGCCCAAGCGGCCTTTGGGGGGGCAGAACTTTGGCTTCAACAAGAGCCACAGCCGCAGTTCGAAGACACGGAAGACTGTTTTGAGGGGTGTGGGGGGCGTTGTTTCGTTATTTTGGCACGCGTAAGACGGTTTAGGGGCCGGACCAGTTCACAACCAATGTTTAGATACCTGCAGAACAGATGTTTTTCGCGCATAGTTGTTCTGAGCACCGTGCGCAAATCGAAAGCATGGTGCATACTCAGAACGCTGCAATCCTTCATACGTTGTATTAATACTATTTCTATTCGTTTGCGTGTTTCGTGTTCATGTTGGGTCAATTGTCACCCGTTTGTGCGCTCACAACATTTTGCGACAAGTGAAGGGAAAAAAACTGGAAAAAAACACATAAAGTCACACAAGTCTCTTAGAGGATTCCAAAGAAAACGATTAGTTTGGAACCTTCCAGAAAAACAACTGAACAACTATTTGTCCCTGGTAGTGCGTTGTGGGTGAGGTGTTGCATTGGATGCAGTAGAAACGCCTACGTCGTTTGTACTCAAAAGAGACAATTTCCACGACATCAACATTTGAAACATCAAGAACCATCTTGGATGTGAGGTAATTTGTTTTGACCAGGTTTTCCCTGCAGGTTCCACATGAGGTGTTTCTTCCCTTCGCTTTGTTTACGACCGCGGCTGGAGTCAAACCTTTGAGACCAAAGGTACTTGGACCCCTCAAAAAAACATGCGAACAATTAGGGCCGTTTGAGTGTCACTCCTACAAAATCTTCACTTGTGTTTGGGCTCCCTCATGCTGCTTCCTTTAGATGTCTTTTGCCTGCCAAAACGTTGCGTTTCCACATTCACAGCTGTGATTGCTGGTGACCACTGACCAGTCTCACTCCAGTCGAAGACCGTTCCGCGCCGTTCCGCGCGGGTCGAGCGTTCCACCACAGAATCAGCAACGACGAATGGAACCGCGGGGATGTCTACACTCTGCGGCGGATCATCTACGAGGACGGTACGCCACATCCGGTCTTTTGGCCGATGCTCGGATTGGAAGAAACGAGGTCAGGCGTCAGGAGCAGGAGGATTGGGATGGAGTCTAAAATGTTTTTTTGTAGAGATTTATTATGATAGTAAGTATGGTTTCCATACTATAGGGAAACATTTTAATTTGAATAGTTTACCCTTTTTGTTGGACGTATCGATTATCTCAAACTTCTACATTGTATGACACGTTTCATTCAAACGTGTTTATGTTTTGAGTTTTTGTTCCGAAACAAAATCCCAACCCCAGCCATTGCCAAGAGACGCGGTTGGCACGGTGTTTTATTTGTTTAACCTTCTGCACAAAGGTTGGCAGCCAAGGGGTTGGGGGTTGCCGGCTGTAGTTTGACCGAGGGAATAATATTTCCATGGATGGTATAGATTCTGGAAGATGTCTAGGAAATTCATTCTTCGAGCACATCATACAACGCCCATGCGGCTCATACATGTTTGTAAGTGTATATAGAATTTAAAGATCAGATGTGGTCATGTGTTCTGTAGAGTTTTGCCCCATGGTGAGAATTCTATAGCCTCTCACGAACTAGCATAGGATCGTGAAGACGGATTTTTAGAACAGATTCTCGAGATTTCTCGAGTATTTTCCCAACCACTGTTTGCAGGAAACATAACTTTTCGCACTCCATTCGAAGGATTGGGATTGATGGTGATGAATTTGTTGATTGGGAGTTCCTGATTTTTGATCATTGAGACTCTTGAGTTCTCAGGAACTTCTTGAATTGGTATCGCAGCATCCAGCCTAATGGGAAGATTGTGGCTTCTCGGACAAGATCGTCACAACCGGAACCAGGCATCGCAGAGGAGGTTTTCAGAAAACATTAGCTGTTTTGGATCCTACTAGGAGGAAGGAATGCAAAGGAATGCACTGAACTTAGTGAGTGTGGCTGAACGCATTCAATGTGTGACAGATTTCCCTTCAGGTTCCAAGCTTTTATGTTTGATGGGTTAGCCAATCAATTCGCTAAAGCTGACGTGTTTTGGGCATAGCTAAAATAAAATCAGCGTCCCAGTCCTTCAGTGAAAGGAACTAGACCAACACCTGCGGAATCTTATGTCTTGTATATATGTTTGACCCACAAACGCAACACGTAGCACGGAGTTTCATGCAAGATCCCAAACAATCTCACGTGCTGCACGGTTCCAAGCAATCTGAGAGTTTGAGGTCAGAGGAGATCAGAGTTAGCTTGCACATGGTCTTGCACTCATCTTCACAGACTACAGTCGTACCAGGTCGTACCAAGGTTCAAATGGTACCAATTGGTACGTCACTGGGATTCGATTCGTTGGCAACGGCGGACATCGGACCCGGTGGGCTCTTTTCTTCGGTTCGACCGCATCAGATCTCGGCCGAGGTGTATGGCTCTGACAACATGCGTATCAGACGATGCCAGCGTCTCGTCGGCAAAAGCAAGTGACGGATCCAACCAGGTTTTTTTACTTGGGAACGATGGGTTTCGCAAGAGCTCCTAGGCAAAGATGAAGCTCAACAAATGACCCTTACTCACTTAATTTCTGTGGAAGACTTGTCCGGAATGATGGATCTTTGGTTTAACTTCACCGGCTGAATGGGCTGCAGGTCAACACAGGCTTCGACACGTGACATCTTCAAGAACTTGAGTCGAAAAGGAAGACCCATATGACATATGATCCAGGTATCTCCATGTATCAGAATTCGCACCATGTGGATGGCCAAGCTCGGGCCGAGTTGTCAGATGTGGTCGCTGTGAAGATCCCAGACTTGATGTCAGGTGAACATCTTACATGCTTGTGCATGCTTGTGCATGCTCGCGCATGTTTTGCCTGTTCACACTCACTGTGAGCCTCGAGATATTGCAACATCCCAACCCATCCATCCAACTCGCGCTTCCAACCATGCAGCGCTTCGCCCACCACTTCTGCGCTCAGGTTCGTGATGCCTTGCTTCGTTTGCAAAGCCTTCTGTGGCCCTCCCTGAGCCCGTGTGAGTCCGCGGTGCTTCTTTGTGAGGACCTCAAGGACCCCAAAGGCTCTTGGTCACTGAGATGACGGCCACCGGGTCAGTTGTTTGAAGACTGAGTTGTATATTGGTGTTCTATTAGCATCCAGCTAACATCACACAGAATCAGACCAGAATCAGATGGAAACCACAATTCAGGATGTAATCATCGCACTCGAGACTCGATCCATTTGGATGCGACGAAAAAACAAGAAGACAAATGAGAGAAACACCTGGTCGTGCCGCTTGCTGTTGGATCGGTGCGGGCATTCCAACTTCGGCCTGGACTGGCCCTAGTTCGGAATGAGGAAACCAAGGAAACCCTCAAGTCTTAGTTGTGTTATGTTGCGTTTGTTGTGAGCACCTGCAGAACAAGAGCACCGATAAGCTGCCATAAGCTCTGGTAACTGGGTCACTATATACTTGGCATTGGATGCACTTGGAACTTGTTTGAGGGTCTTTGACAGTTGGTACATGTGTTTGCAGAGCTTGTCATTTGCAAGAAGCAAATACTGAAGCAAATCAGTGGTGAACAAGTCCATGTCTTGTGCTGGCAAGATGACCGTCTTTATGCAGTGACCATCACGTGGTCCAAGGCTGGAAGATGCATAGAGGTCTTTCGCGGCGGAGACTCTGCACCAAACAACTTGGCGCAAAGAGAAAGTCAAGGTCTCCAGTCATAGAGGGTCATGAACGGCTGGGTTTGGTGACCGTTGTGGTTATACACGGTGTTGGCTATGTAACAACTAAGCTTTCTGAGCCTCTCTAGGATTTAACACCTAGCAGCCTGGTCAGTCACACGCAACACTCAACACAGCCAACAAGAAATGGAAGGAAACACAACAGCAACAAGATGAATGACAAGACATTCCACCAATGGCGACGGTGTACTTTGAATTGTGGTGTAGCCATTGAATCAAGCATCCGTTCACATATTTTTGCCAGTTACCGTACCGCCCTTGCAAACGACCTCCACTGGTCAGCGAATACTCCATACGCAGAGCGTTTGGGTATTGTATGAAATTGTATATATCTTCCTCACACGGTGCTTTCTGTTCGAAGATTTATGTTATCCTTCCTCAGTCCTGTGTATTTTACCTTCCCCAGTTAATTCATGAAAACAGTGTTTGTTTGTGTCCTTGAGCGCAATCATCTTTGGCCAAACTGCTTGGTGCATGCTGCTTGGGCCGTGGTGCTCTCGCTTGCCGAAGCGAGAGAGGTGTTCTGGACCATGTATCCGGCTCCAGCATTTGATCATCTACCACCGTTTTGGGGTTCTGCACCAATGTTTCAGGGTGCGCAGGAGTCAGCAGATTCCGGGGATCCTTGTTCCTTCCACGCGGAGTCAGCAGATGATGGGTGTTACAAGTTGGTTGCGCGATCAGCACGGCCACCCTGTAAATGCTTAAGAGCTCAAAGGAGAGTGTTCGGTTGCTCGATGACGGGAGTATCTCGCTGGTTCACTTTAAGGAGGAGGTCCTTGTGCTACACACTGGTTTACTGACAGGAAACATCCATCAATGCGAGGCTTTTGTCCACCTTTTGTGATAAACGTATACTGGAAGCCAAATAGACAGAGTGCAGAGTTCTAATTGGATGTTGTTTCTGGTGTAGCAGGACTTGTATGCAACCCTCTCTTGTGAGCGATGGATGGTTTTAACCTGTTTTGGTCGCACATAGCTCTTCTGAAGCCCTTTTTCAACCGAAAGGGCTTGAAGGCCCACCGACAATGGCCTTCGTGGTTTGTGATTAAACAGACACAAACAAGAAGATCACCAACAATTGGTCGCACCCAGCAAGTTAATCCATGGCGTTTTGGTTGAGGCATGTTGACGCCTGTTGAGCCTCCAAAATGCGTGCTTTGGAGGATCTTGTTTAGCCACAGCTCTCACAACCTCCAAATTCTACTGCTCCAACATCCGAGCGCTCCGAATCACAACAACTCTGGCCAGTAGAAGCGTCACCTCGAGTAGATGGCATGAAACACAACAGTCTCAGATTCCGCAATCAAGCTTCCACTAAAAACCAGCTATACTGCAAGACTGATTCAGGCAGCTGATTGAAGCGTAGTGGCCGTGCACATCTTAAAGCTCCCATCTATCCCTAACGTTCGCTCTATCCCACTGGACGCCGGATGAATTGGTTTGTCGAAGTCCCCTCCGTGGATCTTCCCTGTGGAAGGGTGATCTTGCACTCGCACATCCCAATGATGAATCATGTGGGCGAAGCACACCACATGGTTATAGGTAGTATGGGATGGATGAGAATAGTAGCATCCTTTAAGAGAATGATGGCAGATGACGGTAGTAGACTAGTAGATTTCCCAGCACAAAAAGATCTCACCTTGCTATGTTGCTAAACGGTAAATCACTGATTTATATTTCAGTTCGGGATGCAAAGCCGCAAGCTTGGCAAAGCCAAGTTGCTTTCGTGACGCGACGCACGCAACGCACGCAACGCAGCACGGAGCAAAAAGAATAATTCAATCTTTGGAGGGTGGTTTCTGGCCTGGTGGGCAGAGGATGGTTGAAATGATCTTGGGAGCAAAGTCTATATAAAGTAATCCAACTCGGATCACGGAAAGGGCTTTTTCTACCCTCCTTCTTTAAGTACAGAATGCTGCACTGCAGGTGTGGAATTCTCCTGCCTTCACTAGCCTGTTGGTGGTCTAGCTGGTGTGTCGGTGCACAAAAGGCTTAGCAGAGTTGTGGGTCTACGGCGCGAGTGTGTAAATCAGCCGTTTGTGTCGGTGGTGTGGTTTGCTGGTTGGACTCACTTGGGGCACACATTGACATCGTAATACGCACTAGTCCTACACCATTGATATATTGATATTCCACATATTGTGGGCCTTCTGTGGAAAACAGCGGCATGTTCATCTTCCCTTCCCTCATTCATCGCCACAAATGATTGACAAGTCTAAAGGATATTGCTTTGGTCTTTGGTGATTGATCTCCACGGTTTTAACTGGCTTTTGGCCCCGCAACCGATGAAGACCACCGAGGTGGAGATGTGTAGCATCGCCCTCTCAGTGGATCCTAAAGCCCCAAAGGCGCCGCGAGGGCAGGGCCGTCGCGGGCGGTGCCGTGCGAGAACACCCTGAAGGCTCTAGGCATTTGCTGGACCACCCAATTTCTTGGGACCAGTTGTGACCAGATATTTTGTTGGGGCTCCAACTTTGGCTCCTCATTTCTCTTGGTCTTTGACTTATGATATTTTTGGGAAAAGACAGCACGCTACTTGCTTAAGAACCCACCTCATGATTTGTGCCTTGCCTTCCAAACGAGAAACAATGGGCTTTAAGGTTTGAACTCTACACAGTCACATCTCTACACACTTTGGATGTCTTCATGAGTCGAACGAGTCTTCCACCGCTTTGTTTGCTAAGCAATTTGCCTTCAATCTCTTCTGACTTGGGAAATTGAGTTAAACCATGTTAAACCATGTTAAACCTACATTCGGAGCGTGTTGACCAAGTGACCTTACCGCATTCGCTCCAGAGATGGTGCTGTTTGAGGATTGTGCACATGCGAAGTGAGTCTGTGTGTGTTTTGGGGGTAATTAAAGACTTTTGAGACATTCTGGGACACTGGACACGTTCAACAATTCCAACTGTTTTGCAGAGATGGGACGACACTCATTGATACAATTGTATGTTAATGTGCTTAGACCAGAAGTTTCTTGTTGGAGGATCGGGCATCGGGAATCGGTTCGCCCAAACGTTTCGAACCTGTCCAACCCTTTGTGAGACCCAATGTGCCAATAGGGCTAGATCACTGGCGGTAGGAACAAAGACAATTCTCATAGTAGAGCCTTCCGAATGCTCAGCTAGAATCAAGGCAAAACAAAATTGAATGGTCAATTGCGACTTCGGTTAGTTCTCTATATGGTCATATATGGTCTTGAGAATGGTGATTGTCCTCATTTATCCTTACAGAGAGATATGCTTGCTGGGCGGCAGGATGACATGACTAGTCGTTTTACATGTTGATTACCCAACTGACTAAGCGAAGGAACATCTAATGGTGTCCAGACAGTGTACGAAGACGATCCTTGGCTCGCAGCCTTTCGGCTCAAACACTGGGCTTGAGGATCATAGCTGCCCAGAGATAGAACTGCAACCAACCTCGGAAGGGACACATCTACTTAAGTTCCCGACGCACACACACAAACGCCTAGGAAGCCAATTGCGAATGGTGCCCCTTCCTGGGTACTTGGGAATAACCTTATCGTACTTTCTCATTTTATCTACTGGTCCTTTCAACAGGGTATCACTCACCTCCACTCACCTCAATTGTCATCGATGTGAGTTCAAAGAGATTGTTGATGGGCATTCCGCACCAGCTGTGACTCAGGCTGTGACCTTGAAGATGTGTAATATGCAACAGGGACCACACGATTCATCTTGCGGAACCCGACATCAAGACTCATCAAGCAGCTTGATGACAGCCTTTGTGGCTGAATGCAAAGATCGCAGGCGATGTCGCAGGCCCATTGAGTCTAGGGTGAAAACCAAGCGTGGTGGTGGATGGTATGCCATATGTGTCCATACACCAGGTCTACCCCAGGTCTACCCACTCACCGATGAATCATCAGCAGATCATCCGCTCTGAATGGCAATACGATAGGCCTTTGGCGGCCTTTCTCTGAAGCTCTCGGTTTCTGGTGGGCAGTGGCCTGTTGCCTTGCGAAAGAACAACCATCAAACCATCCGGAGGATAGACTCATCGAGTCACGTCACTGACTACCATTCATGCGGAGGCAGAATAGACCGCTGTAAGCAGAATTTCAAGCAGCATATACTAGTGACGTTTGTTGAATCACTTGGACTTGAGTGTGAGACCAGACCATCTATCCGCATCTATCATCTATCCAGGTCCTCGACTGTGGGGATACTTTTGTTTGTTTGACTTCTTCATTGCTTGGGTTAGCGAAAATGCAGCTGCTGAGATCGTCCAGAGGTGTAAACGGGATGATGCTTTTGTTGCCCTATACAGAAATGACGGAGTTTGCATGCCTTTTGAGTTTCTGTGATTGTTGTGCTTGCTTCCAGGGTTTGGGAGATCCTTCATCCAACCCGAGACTGATGGGACTGTACCTTGAACTGGTGATTTTTTTGATTTGGGAGCTACCAGCTATTCTGGCTATGCCTTGCTCCATCACCGCCGGGATTTCAGGGATGACCATGACGATGGGCGGGTCGTCTCATGAGCCTTCCCTCAAGCAGTGAGCTCAGGTTAAGGGCTTTGGTGTGGCTGGAATGTGTCTGATTTTTGTTTCTCAGGTGAAGGGTGATTTCTTAATATGCCTTGAACGGTGCTTGGACTTTGACAGCCAATCAACTGAAACCAGCAAAAGGCTTATGGAAACTTAGATAGCGGCATGCTCTTGGCGACCGTTCCATGATGTGAATGTGCAGAATCAGAGAAACTCAGTATTGCACTCTGTCATGTTATTCTCCCAACCAAGGACCGGGGGACAATTCATGCATGTTTGAACTCATTTGCTCTTCAAAACTGCTCATGGAGTGTCCAATGGGATCTCTACTTCAATAGCATCATCGCCTTGCACCCTTGCTGTCGTCAGCTGTTCTGAAAGGCCACTTGGGATGATGAGAAATGAGCACCTTCACATGACTGACCAGCGTTTAGTGGGGGTGATTTGTTAGACGACTCAACTTAGGGTGTTGTCCCATCACCTGTAACAGTCGGTAGAAGATTATGACTATTTTAGGAAAACCCTGCCACCTAAACCATCATCATCCACTGGGCACCTTCGGGATATACCCACGCAAAAATGAAGCACTGAAGTTTCAACAAACATTGCAACACGACCCAAAACACTAGATGCATCCGTCTCTCCCTGAAACACGACGACGAGACCCATCGACCTCTCGACCGTCTCGCCATGTCTCGGCTGCAGTCGTGTGAGTCGGGTCGTTGCAGCAAGCGACGCACTTTGCAGGGCCATCCTTCCGGAGCATGCGCAACACCGAGTCCGCTTTTCAAAGCCAGGTTTGGGTAAATGTGTTTTTGGTTTGCAAACCTACACAACCTAAGAAATGCTACAGAACTGCTGGTTATTTGGTGATGGATTGTTTCTATTTCTTACCTACCTCGGATATCTCTACAAACAGACTCACCTCATATTTGAAATTGGTGTCGCACGTGTTCGCCGATCTTCAACTCCAGAGAGGACTCATCCTTCGGTTCGAAATCCACGCCACGCGCCACCAGCCATGTTCGAAATCCACTTCGCGCGATTGGGCCATACGCGACGTGACCTGGAGGACTGGTGGGCGTTGAGTTGTTGCATTGAACATGTTTGGTCCAGTACACCCCCACTCACTAACATGGAAGTGGATGGCATTAGGTGGGCCCTGGGAAGAGCCTTTTGCTCTATGAACAGGCGGTTTTCCACTTCCATGATAGTGAACGGGAGTGTACTTTAGTGTTGCATATATGTCTTTCACTGTGGCACACATCTCAAAAAAGAATGATCCCACATGTATCCACATGTGTATTCCTTGCCAAACGCCACTCCCGCTCAGGACGCTTCAAGCTCGGTGGAAGCAGAGGCGAAAAAGCCAGGGGAGTAGTGTTGAGGGCCTCTGGCTTGACCTTTTATGTAGACACTCTACTAGGGGGCTCCTGGCATCGCTACTAGGAGCGATCGGACGCTACGTTCGGGGCTCCTGGCCTTACTAGGGGCTCAAGAAGCTAGTAGGACACTCCCGTACATTGGACCCCGAAGTGGAAATGACATGAAGCTAGTGGTCCCCTTTCCTTTCCACTTCGATCCTCCGAGTCGCTCGGTGGAAACCAGAGGAACAGGCCGGTCACTACACGGGCGGCCATGGGGCCCGCTTCCATGTATTTTCGTTGGGTTTTCGGAGTTCCAACAGGAACATCAACGCGTTCAGAGAGCAGTTTCTTCCTGTTGGCGGAACCACGTTCAACCGGACGGTTCCGCTTCCAGCCTGGACCGGCTGGTCGTTCGTTCACGCTGGGAATGTCGTTCGTTCACGCTTGGATATGTACGGGTTCGCGTGGAATGGATGGTCACTTGACTCGCCGGTAAGTTGTTTTTTCTTTTTCTGCTGTGATTTGTCATTGGCCCTTGCTTGGGGGCTATGGGTACATTATCATGGCCAATAGCAACGAAGGCATATCTATATTCTATATAGTCTATATAATTCAATCGTTTGGCCCAAGCACGGAAGAGTATGTTTGGAAAAACCTTAATACTAACCACTTGACATTTACACCTATTTTGTTTAGCCCAAGCGATAAGATCGCAAAAGCTTTTCAGTGTGAAGCACTTTTTTTTTTCCGGAGTTGAAGGGAACATGGTCCACAAACTGTTTTGGTGAGCTGCATTTACATTATCACCATCAACTAGACTCAGATGTTGTAGCTTTGATTGCTTCTCTATCACAGTATATCAACACACAGTCCAAGCCAAAGCAATTCCTGCTTAAAGGTGCCATCACACACCAATATTGAAAGATAACCCGCCCTGGCCACCTCCGCATCCTTAATTTCCACGTGGCCCGGGCTGGATCTCTACGTGTTTCTTGTTTATTCAAAACTAACGTGCACACGCAGGATAGTCCAAAGATATCCCAAGGTTTCCTTTCGATTGGAAGCATCCTCGTCGGGATTCCTTAGGGACTGTTGTTTGTGTGTGTGCATTTCCTGGGGTCCTTGTAGCGAATCCAAGTAGAAGTGAGGTGCACCTTGGCAGTTATAAAGACATGCACTCTAAACCTTTGTGAGGTAGGAAGAGGTTTTACAATCCAAATGATTCCAAATGGGGGGACGTTGATCATTTCACATTCGTTGTTGAACACCTTGTGAACACCCGGCCGGGCCTCCCTGCCTCCAGGCGTCGGAACCAGCACATCGGCATGGTCGGCACCATCACGGGGCGCTGTGCCGCTGTGAACGCACTGCACTCCGCGGGACACGGGACGCGGTTTGAAAGACATTTGCCAGCGAATAATTTCCACTGCACTGTTTCAGTGTTTGCAAGCCTATTGATTGGTATGTGACTGGTATTATGTAGAAGATTGTAGAAGCAAGGTTGCCAACAGTTTTCTTGACCTGGCTGTTGTTTAGCACTCCATTGCCAGGCCTGGTCGAAGAGAGGGGGATCTGTCCTGGATAAACCTGGAACAAGCGTCACCGGTCGCCGTGGAAGTCCTGACATGGCCGGTGCAAACAACATGAAAAACACTACCCTTCCAGAGACCTGACGACCAGTCCGGTGTCATTTAGGACTCGATGTCCTTCTTCCACAGGGGACACAGGACACGGTGTGTCGATCTTGTCCCAGGACATGACCGCATGAGGAAGAGTCGTCGAAGCAAGTTCCTTTGCATACCCCTCAGTGAACCCAAGGCATACAAAATTGAGGAATAATTGTCGTAGAGGAGGCCACATATGCAGATCTCGTGACAGAAATTCGGAGGTCGGAACCTGACGGATGAGCCCCTAGTAGCTTCTTGTTACTACTAGTAAGGCACTTGTTTCTAATAGCTTCTTGTTACTACTAGTAAGGCACTTGTTACTAGTCGCGATGCACTTGTTCCTAGAAATGGATTCCGTCAGAGTCCGTGCCATACCTGACGTCTCCAGGGATCGAACGAAGCCCAGACTCGGCCGCCTCTCCCTCTCGAAATCAATCCACAAGCTCTCCCCGAAAATGCGTTTTAGCGTGCTCTTTGGTCTCAAAATGTCTCACTTGGACACGTTAACAGCGAATGGCAACTCCCTTCGCCGCCCAGTTCCACCCTTATTTCCGAGGCCTAGTTCTGGCTGGGCTTCTTTTCTTCCTCCTTCGAGGCTCTGAACACGTGGACCTTTCTCCGCGGACCGTTTTCTCTTCCAGAACTGCGGACCCGGTGGAAGACATGAAGACATGAAAGAAATGGAAACAAAATTCCTTGGGTGCTTTGATTGAAGACGGTCTTTTTCTCCTGCTATTTGCAAAGTGACATGTTCTTTGAGGCAATCTTTGTCATGGCTTTTTTCAACTGGCTTTGCCAAAAGCTTGTTGGTGTGTCACTGTGTCCTCCTGCGGCTGCGCATGAACATAAAGCTCGAAAGAACCAGCCCGACCACGTGCGGGCTCGGTTGGTTTCGTGTCCACTTCGTAAAGGGCAACACACTGGCAAATGGAGGGTCCAGTGTCGACCACCTGAAAGGAGATTGGAAGTAGGACTTGCTACACCGATCGTTGCGGAGGCGGGAGAAGGAACCACGACGGATCGATGCTCTACAATTCGAGATTGAAGATCCCAGCTGGTGACAGACTCCCTCATTTGGCCAATGTTGTTTGGTGGCTATGTTTTGTTTAATCTAAAGGAGCAGGTTTGTCCTAGCGGAGCCCTGTTGTCGTCTTAAAGGGCAGCAAGACTGATAGGTTTGACAAGTGTTAAAGGGGATTGTGTGGCAACTTGCCGCTTTGTGGGGGAAATACAACGGCTATGCAGGTGGGAGGCATCCAATTGATAGACATAGATGTAGAATGTCGTAGAACATGACAATGCTTCCCCCAGACCCGTTTTCCCTCCGCCACGCTCAGCCGCTGAGATGCCGTGAGCCGCCGTTGCGATTCTGCAGATGCGCGTGAACCATTTGTTACAACACCAATTTTCGGACTTTTCGCCTTGTGGTTTTCTCACCTTCCTTCCACTTGGGAATTGAGTTAACTGAAAACCAATGTCAGAGTCTGTGTCACACTCTGTTCCTAAGAGTTTTCCACAAGCAGGGGACCAGGCAGGATGCATCGTCGCCTGGTCAACGAAGCTGGCGATGCATCCGAGGATATGGAAATGGGACGCCACGTACCTGCTAAAAACTGTTGTTTACGCTGTGACTCCACTTTTCCTTTTTTGTTCCGATGGTGGTTCTTCGCATGATATCCCCCAAAACAGGTTTCCTTAGTGCTAGTGAGTTTGTTAAACAGTTCTGTTCTTCGGACCCTTTCGCCTTACCGTTTTTGCAGTAAAGTGCTAATGCACGAACTAGCTTCTGCAGTCACGCAAAACCTTTGTTAAACATCTTCAAGTTTTTCGGACTCACTCGCCTTTCCGTTCCTTCACCCTTTTCGACCTGGGAATAGAGTTAACTGCAAACCCATTGTCAAAGTGTGTGTGAGTCAGGTGTTTGGTGTGTGGGTCAAATTTGTGACTGTGGTGAGTGTGACAGTTGAGGAACGTTGTTGTGTGAGTGAGTTGGAGATGAAGAAGGACGGTGCGAGGTACGGCCCTCCTGCGAAATATATCCAAGAAATTCCTCCAAACTTCACTTCTGAGTTAAGTATCGGGTAAGCTACGCACCACGTCCAGAGAGAGAGAGAGAGAGAGAGAGAGGTGTGTGATGCATCAATTAAAAGCATGGAACGTGGGACCGGCATGTATGAGCATTTGCACGCCCTTAAGAGGTATCCCAAAAAAGATCCTAAGAGGGTCATTCCAGGTGCTACAGATTGGGTTCAGACAGCTGTCTTTTGTGGCGCACCCTTATTATGCAACGGTATTGCGAACGTTCAACTGGCGTTGAATGGGGATCGGATCCGAAACAAGGATCATCTCTTTGCACCCTTGGTGTAAAATTGGGCAAGGGGAAGACATGGGAAGACCAAAGATACCAAACACATCGTTTGCAAATTGATGCGGTTTGGACATTTTATTTGGACCAGTGTGTGCCAGACGTTTCTTCAGAAGTCTCACTTTGTTTGACATGTTTTGAGGGCAACAAGTCAACTCTGCTGGTTCTATTTGGGGTCAGTTACCCAAGTGATTTCCAAGTTTGTCACCTGCGTAAACATTGAATCGACCACGCAAAGACGCGCAACACGAAGCAAGGTTCGCTGTTACTTTTGCACAATTTGCCGGTGACCCTGTCAAACCAAAATGAGTTGAAACGCCAGGCAAAAGGCGACAACTGGAGCGTTTACTAGCGAAGGGGCCGGTTACTGATTTCACTCCACACGTCCACACAAAATGCCAAACATACCATAGTTCATCCCAGGCTGGCTCTTAAGCTCTATTTTTCTGGCTGCGCGATGCGCTCGAAAGTTTAGGTCCTGCCCATCCACATTCGCAGTCCGTCAGGACGAGCACATGTTTCCACTCAGCATGTGGCCCAGGGGCGAGATGGATCTGGAACCAAGAAGTGAAGAAGAGCCACGAGCTGATGTGCCCCGTTGGTGTGCAATTGGCTGCTATAGACGGTTGAGCCCACCGCACGTGGCATGTTTTCTGCCGCCATGAGTGTGATCCACTGGCTGTGCGAACCGAGCTTGTTTCAGTGTCGTGTGGAAGGTGAAAAGCATGCCCACAACTGTTTTGACGGTCAAATATTCACCAGTGAAGCATGAGCAACATTGGTGGTTTATTTTGTGACATAGTGATTGTGAGTTGGAGTGGGGATCGAATACCGGCTACAAAATGGAAAGTGTGGTCCAAGCAGATAGACAGATGTTCACACTCAGTTGTGCCACACCAAAGTTGTGGTAACATTCATACATGTTACATGAACTAGCATTTTAACGCCTTTTTTTTGCGTGCATCACCGATGCTGCGGTGTTCACATGGAATACAAACCACAAGGGTTTCTTTCCGTTTGGAAATTTTAGTTACCTTCAAAACAACCAGTTTAGTTTGCATCCAGCAGTTGCCGCATTTGCATGCAGGAAATTGTTCGCAGATTCATCCCACGAGAGTTGAACTATACGTATAGTAGTGTTGTTATGTGTTGTTGTTTTTTCAAGAGCATAAATTTGCCCGACGCACCCCAACAGGAGGAAATCAATTGGACAAACATGTCATTCGCTGGATTGTTTTGTGTCCAAGACCATTAGGCAAGCGAGCGAAGATGAAGCAGGAATGCTCTTCGGGCTGACTCAGGACGGAAAAGTCCCTTGGCCAAGATTTGTTGGGTTAGCCTCATCTCGAAATTGCTTGGATAGTTTTTCACCACCTGTTTAATGTTGTTCAGGAATCAGTCGCTCCAGTTGTCGAGGCCTGTGCAGCCTATCTATTTATCAACCAAGGTACCATTCAAGGTTCCTAGGCCTTTCCCTTGAGCAGTCAGGTCTTTTTTGGGAATCACGGTGAAAACAATTGTTGTTTTCAATGCTCGAACTCTTGAACATGCATTTGGTTTTGCAGTACCAGGTAGTTTTCCAGTAGAAGGCGCAAATTTCAGATTCTTGTGTAAGGGGTCCTATCTGCTTTGTTTTTTATTTGACGAATGCCTGATCTGGCCACCAAACAGATGGACGCACGTGACCTCGGAGATCCGTGGAGCCTCAGGTCTTCTTTCACGCCGAGCAAAACGACACGGCCTTTATTCAGCTTCGCGGGGAACCCTGTGGAGGAGAAGTGACGAACAGGGTTTGACATGAAGGTTGACTCATCCACGTTCCTTTTTTTTTCACTTGGCACTTGTTTCTAATAGCTTCTTGTTACTACTAGTAAGGCACCTGTTACTACTAGCGTGGCACTTGTTATTACTAGCTTCACCGGTTAGAACATGTTTGAACAGTTCAAAGAAGGGAAGTGCCCTGTCGCTGCAGACGGAGTTTGGGCGGGGGTAAATTCATTCCACCTCCTGGGCCTCTTCCAATCCCCAAAACCACCAAAACTTAAGCTGAATATATAGCTGAATCACATTTTTTTTGGGAGATGGGTCCGACTGCTTAAGTTTTTCGCTAAGTGGGTCGACAGCTCCTGCGTCCTTCTTTTTGAATTCTGAAGCCTGCTTTGGTTTCGTGTGCTCGCAACTGGCGACTGGCGACCGGCCCCAAAACCTGTCAGGAAAAAACATGTTTCCAGGATGGATCTCCCCAACAAGGATTCATCCAGCTGCAAAAATCTTTGCCAAAAGAAGGTGCTATTCGGATCTTGGTCAGGAAAGTGATGATGAGTCCAACATGCTTGCAAAGGTTTGTGCTTTGGTATAACAACCCCGAACAATGCAAATACATGTTTTTTTTGTGGCCAAGTAGACCATGTGTTCTTGTGTGTTCTCGTTTCGCTCAACTACAACTTCAGCAGGACTGGCTCCCTCCAGCTTCAACTCTAAGTGGCAAGACCTCAGAACAGGATCCCTAGGTCTTTCATCTTCAGGATCCTTGGCTATTTACATGCTTCAAAGACCTGCAAGAAGGCTTCAAGAAAAACGAAGAAGTCCAACACCGACCATCACGGCCATCACGGCGGGCCACGGTGTCGTCGGTGGGGGGAGGAGTCTGGGGCATCCCCATTGACGTGGATGCCTCCTCACGAGCGATCTGGGTGGTCTGCGAGAAGGAGCTCCTCGGCGATCGGTCGGTCTTTCCGCCAGCGGTAGATGGTCCGAGGGGTTGGGGCGACAGCTGCGTTCACTGAACACTGAAGGGTCAAGAGCTTGTAGACTCTGATATAGACCAATTGTGCAGTTGGCAGGAAATTGATGCCCTTCTCTCAACGGTCATCATCTGCTAACTCTACTGCTAGAGCTTAAGATGTTAGAAACAAGATCGTGCCCAAGGCGTTGACCTTCGGTGAATCATAATATATGGACGAACAGAAAAGAACCACGCATGCTATTGTTCGATTATTTTGCCGTTACTTGTTCTGAATGATGTTACAATTGCAATGTTAACGCTGAGTAAATATGTTTGGGAAGAGAGACATGTAGATGATGGTCAGAGTCACAGCTAAAGAACCAATCAGTTAAAAGCCAGATTGCCGACTTAGCAGAAGCAACTTGCGAATTGGACTACACTGCAGACTGCTGATGCATTTTCACTGTGGATTTGCAAACCAATGGATGCAAAGCTGTGTGCATTTTTCTGATAAACGGCTTGGGAACTCAAGACACCAAAGCAGCAGCCTGATAGAACATCGACTAAAACCCGCCATGTCAGGGATCTCCTTTTGAGGTCAATCCATTGATCTAAGTATCCCACCCACATCGGTCAGCTGAAATAGGTGCAAACTAGACTCTGTTGATACGCATGGGTTTGGAATACAACAACTGTCCCACTATCCGACTAGTCCTAGCCTATGGTCACTAGTCCCCAACAAAGATCAGACAGCTTTGGAACCTTCAATCCCTGACACCTTTAATTGGTGCAACAATGCTCTTTGTATTGTTGTCTGTCTATGCAGTCTGCATCGGAATGGCCTAAGTCCAGATGCCCAGGCATTCACTGCGGCATTGTTTGCATCAAAGATTCCTATGTGTTGAGCATGTACATGGCTTTCATATGCTTCCATTCTTTGCGTTTCCTTTGGATTCCAACTGTTTGCGGATCATCCAGGATCGGGTGTACAATTGCTATCGCACCAAGGTACATGACGAATCATGGCATTCAAATGGAACACTTCTTGTTCGCCAAGTGGGGTTGGTCCATGGCCAACAATCACGTTTGGTGGCATATGATGAGGCCCGGCCGATCGTGGGCGTCTCGCTGGACAACGGGGTGTCGTGCATTCGAAAAAGCGGCGCAAACGGATGTGTTTGGGGTTAGCTCCTTCGCTCCTTCCAGTGCTGTTTCTCAACGGCTAGCGAGCGTTATTCATGTTTAGCTGATGGAATATGGTATTTAATATATTCTTACATATGTTGGTCACAAGAGGAGGCACGTTGGATCTTCTAGTTTTTGAGTGGTGCCATCGTTTTTAAGCAGTTCAACGCTCTCTAGCGTTCTCTCGTGTAGTATTCTGTGGCGGATCTTGAATAATATATTTGTCTTTGTACGTCAAAAGGTTTTGCTGGCTGCGTCCACCCGTTGACTTGCAGGGGCGGGAACGTCATTCAATTGGATGCCGACGATGATGCTATGTGCCCTGGCCGGTGTCTCATGGTGTCTCCAAAGCTTTGGAGGTGACCCCAAAGTGCATGCTTTACACTCCTGAGTTCTTATGACAAGGTATCCCATGGTACCCCCGCAAATCCTGTTTGAGGGCTGATTACAGTCATTACAGTAGCTCTTCAGTGATATGGTCTGGAGATCGATGAATCTTCTTTTGCTGTAGATGATGATGGAATAAATCCTGCAGCACCTGGCATACACATTATCAATTGTACAACAATGGATATCCTTCAACTTGGACTGCCGTGCCAAGCACACTGACTTACCACGAGCACAATTTATGTACGATGCTGGGCAACTCGTATTTCAAGCAATCACACCCGGTCTAGTCCACTCAGTTTGTGCTAAACTGTCGATTGAACCTGACGAGCATTGTAGACAGCCTCGTTCCTTCGCCGTTCGTGCACCTGGTCCTGCTGGGACCAGATTCACCTACAGGACCTTTTGGTCAAGTGAAAGGTTTGATTCAGGACCTCGATCTGGTTCTTCGGCTCCATTGACCTGGTACCTTTTATGATCTTTCATGTACTGGCTCCACGTCACCTCCGTTTAAGGACAGGGGCACCATCCGTTTCTTGAACGCGTGGCAAGTGACGCGTTCCGCTCCACCAAAAAGGAGGTAGTCGTTGTGACCTGAAAAGGGACCCGTCACCCGGAGACCCATGGCATCTAACGCAGCTCTAGGGCTCTTCAGCTCTGGCTCGGCAGGTGGGGCCTCGATGGTGATGGTTCCATCCTCTGGCGCCCGGCCGGGGACGTGGGGAAACACAGCAGGCGCGCCTGGAGCACTCCCGTGGGCGTCGGGGGAGGGCGTCTGGACGGAACGGTCCACATCGGTTCACAACGGACGGATGGCCATGGTCGCCTTGGGAAGCCGACTGAGTCCTGTTGTGTGCACGATTATATCATGTTTGTATATGTATGTTTTGTATTATGCATATTCTTGTCTTCCCACTGGCGATTTCAGGCAAGCCAGTTTCATGAACAGTGCGTTGTTTGCTACAAAATGGGTTGACCATGTTCGGAGGATCCTGGGCTAGCTCCAATATCCAAGACATCCCATGACCGGTATCCAAGGATATGCCCATGCTGCTGTTGTTCTATATTTGCTTTGTTTGACTTGGGTCAAGTCCATGGATGCTAAACCTTCCCGGGCTCGACTTTAGCATCGCAAGTGTGAACACCAATAACATCCAACGGTCCAACAACCGACACCGGGTAGACCATGTCACCTCATCAGCATGGTGTGCAGTAGGGCACAGTTTTTGTTAATATAGACTCGCACTCTCCACGGCCAAATGATCGCCTTCGGACGCACCTATTTGCCCTCCCTTTTGTATCTTTTGTGGGAAACATGTATTCCTTGAGAGCGATGGCAACGATATGTAAATCACCTGTAAAGATGATTTCGGGATGGGACTGCATCAGTGCGCCAGTGGCAAAGGGCATGTGATCCATTTCGCGGCTAGCGGGAGCAGATGAACCCCCCCAAAAAAGTACACATGTTTTTCAGATCAACAAATCTGGACTCAAAACCAAGGAAGCTCAACGAATCGACAGGTGGATGCGCATCGATGGGCCGCCCAACGTGGCTTTGAAGCTGAAGCTCGACACTGATGTACGCGGGGATGCGTATGAAAAGAGGGATGTGGATGGTGTTTTTTTGATGGGTGCGACCAGAAAGCAAGCACTGGATCCAGCAGTTTGTTTGTTTTGTGCTTGTGTTTTTTAGGGGGGGTTGGGGTTGTTTTTTGTGTGATTCTATTGGGTGTCCACTCGTAGTGTTCCTAAACATCAAGACGAGTGGAAGCCGCATTTGCCAGGTCCTATTTTTTCTGTGTAGACCTTCGTTCCACTCTTTGCTTGCACAGTTCAGAGAGGGGAAGAGACCGGATTTATGATGATTTATGTATAGAACAGCAAAAGCATGTCGGGAAGATCGGGAGGAAGAGCTTGCTTGATTCGCTCCATTCTGCTGTGATGTTCGGCTCCCCGTCAGGACTTCCACTCTATATAATTAGTCCTTCCTTTTCACCGAAAAGAAGGGCAAATTGCGCTCATCCACAATTTTTGTTTAAGCAACGTTGTATGCATTGATATATTAAGTTTATAATACATTCACATTTGGTGGGACATAGTGGCATGACTCACTGCCAGGATCGCAGCGGACAACGACGAGCGCGGCACGTGGCTGTGGTGCATCGACGATGAAGATCGAGACTTGGGCAGTGCAGCAACCTGTGGCAAGATCGACACCCTCATGTCGGGTTCTTGCCCTATGGATCCCCGGATACCCACCATGGATGTGTTCTTTTTTGTGCATGATACACAGGGGAGCAGGAAAAAAAAAAGAACGTTGAGTTCTTATCCTACCCTGGGTGTGTATCATAGAACGAACACATCATCGACCAAATTCATTGGAGGATGTGTTCCCTATTCTAACACACACCTGGATATTAGCTACGATACTGTATCGATACTTCATGTCACTTTGAGCAATCCCAAGACACTCCTCTCCAGGAGTTGACTTTCCGCCGGCAATCTGAGTCGCCAGTGACCCCTCCAAGCGGCCAAGAAACCAGCCGAATTGGCTTAGGATCACCATCCGAGCTTTTCAGGGAGTGGTATAGATACATGATGATACATGCAACGTCATACAAGTTTGCTAGTCCCGATCAGGGGCTTGTTCAAGAACATAGATTGCGATGTTCAGGATTAATGCACTTTTGATGTTAAAACTGCAACATGGGCAGCATTTGTTTGGGGTCATCCAGTATGGATCATACCGAATCATACCATTGTTGTTTTGATATACTGTACACACAAACAGCAATCTATGCAAAACACCCGAGTTTGGCACACAAAAAAGGATTTGCTTCACAAACCAAGAGTATGTCACGTTTCACCCAATTTAGCCAAACAGTTCAATATCATGGAGTTCCCGCTGAGGAATTTGGCGTCGTGATCCAGGAGACTACCACGAGGCGTTTCGAGCGTTTCCCATACAGGACGTCGCTGTTGGATGGGTGTGAAAAACACATCGAATTCTGAAAGGGTCTTTGTTGGTGTTGATTTCCCCAACACTCCATGCACTGTCATATTGAAGCCGACAAACCACAAAATGGTGGGGGCATGATGCTCTCATGTTGTGACTAGAACTGCCCACCCGCCACTTGAGAAATGGAGACATGTCCATTCAGACGACCAGAGTCACAAAAGAGTCGATGACCAGCGTGGCGGATTGGACACTGGTGGTGGCACGCACTGGCGTTGGTAGGTCTCGAAATCTTCTCAACGGATCTAGTCCTAGTGCCAAAGGGCGGATTCCTTTGCTCCCCAACCAGCGGACATGACCCTCAGATCAACAACCCAAAACCACTGGGTTGGTCTTTGGAGAAAAAGGTCGAAACCATGAATGGTCAGGGTTCACGTGGTCCGTCTGCCGGGGGTTGTAGGGCCCTACGGGCCCTTGCCCTCACTCTAAGTGAACTCCAGAGCCGACCCGGTCCTCGCGACGGTGGCGCGTGGCGACACGACCCGCCAGAAGAATCGCCACGACAAGTGGACGGACCGAGCGTCTTGGTGCGGACAGGACTGAGGTGCCCGGTGGCAGAAGGAAGTGACTGATCTAAGGGAATGTTTGGGGTACAGAAGCTATTGGATAAAAGGATATAAAAGGGCAACACCACTTTTGAAAGCCTGAGGGAGAATTTGTTTTGTGATGTTTTGTGTATTTCTGGAGGTTTTGTTGTGGACTGCTTTGAGAACTACCTCTCCCCCTCAAAAAAAAGTGCTGCAGTGGTGCTTTTCTTCCCACACGCGCCAAGCACGCCATTCTCCTTTCTACCCGACCCGTGGTCCACAGTCTCAAGAGTGCTGTTCAACTCCTTTCGGCTTTCCGTTGTTTTCTCCCTCCGATGGTTCAACCGCGAGTTCCGCTTCCGATGTTCTCAGTTCTTAAAGCGTTCGACGACGCACCTGGCGTCCAAAGCGTCCAAAGCGTCCAAAGCGAGTGCGGGTGCACCTGGCGCGGGGAAAACGCGCCCAGGATCCCGAGGGTCTTCCCTACTGGAGCAAACCGGATGGCTCTGTGTTGAAGGACTTGAAGGCAAATATGGGACACTTGGCTGCGCATACAAGGGGTGTATTTGCTTGTCCGCCAGGGCCTTGTGAATGAAGCATGGGTGCCGCCTTAAGATCAATGCCCATAAGCACGAAATACCACGAATCTCTGGGCTGCAACTGTTTCTCATGTTAGTCCTTGACCGATAGCACGAATCCATCAACCAAGCATCTTTGCTGGGTGCAATTCGCCAAGTTTGATCACACTGACTGACAGAAAGGCAATCGGCGAAGCAGCGGAAGATGCAGTAGTGTAGTGACATCGACCACTTTGAACCTGACCTCACTATTCTCTTCAAGAGGTCCATGTTGAAACCTCAGTGGTACCTACGATCTCGACCCAAAGGCTTTGCCCTGGCCATCGACGATCATGGCATCTCGGTGTGAGAACCGGTAGACGGAGCTTTGGTGGGTGCACTTACCGAAAAGGAGGTGTACAGCCAGAGATCCAAATCCATAGCAAATCAATGGGAGTGCAACCGATGGGAGGAGGATGGGAGCGTTGTTGGACGTGGCCACAAGACAATCAAAGAAGCTACATGTGCAAACTTTGGTGTAGCATTAGCATTAGCGATTTGTTTGATCGTGCAACGCAGCCAAGCATCAATGGCATTCGGTCAGACATTGGGCTTATTGGGGATCAGTCACCTTTGAGTTTGTTGGTTGTTTCCTGTTAATTTGTTGTCCATAGCAGTGAGTGGATGACCCAAGTTTGACCTTTGCTTTGGGTTAAACGGTTATTGTAGTAGATGGTTTTGTCTCTTGAGTTGGATTCAGTGCGGATGGACTGGATGGATCATGAGAAGGATATTGAGAAAGACAACCAAAACGCAAACCGTAGGGACCAGTTGTCCCGACAAGCAACGCCAAGGCGCCACTACTGGAAAATTAATATATATAATATATAAAAAAAAAATATATATCAAATGAAGAGAATCGTCTTGGATTTGCAGAGCGATGTGCAGTCACCATGGTTTAGGTGCATGAAGTGTTTGGACCCACAGCTACAACAATTGGATCAGGGCAATGAATAATGAAGCAAAATCAAGCACTGCTCCCCAATTCGTTTGTATGATTTGTTCTCCAATGACCTGTGTATAACAGTTGTCCGATCCAGCAAAATGAAGAAACTGTACGGTCTCCATCATTTCCACTGTCGGACAGTGTCAAAAAGCACTACCTATGCTGAATGACCCTTGCATGAAATGCACTACCAACGGTCCTAAGTGCGCTTGTTCACCCTTAAAGGCCATGCAAAGGAGCAACGTCCAAGGCCGTGACAAGCGGACAAAGGGTGGACAAAGGCCATTACAACGACCGGCATGGACGTCTTCTCCATCAGTGAACAGAACAAGTTGATCACCCCATGCTATTCCTGTAGCCACTTCAGGCCACTTGCTGCGGCGCTACATCAACGGAAGTTGCTGCATGGATTCGGAGTCTCCTGTGCACTGCTGGTGCAGTGATGCTGGGCTCAACTGGTCGTGCCTTTAGTCTAGATGGTTTGTTTCAATGCGGGGCACCCAGCCTGAAATGTGGAGATAGAAGACGACATCCAAACAGATTCTATTTGCAACTTCAGTTGGCAGTGGCTGAGATGGGGACTCCCGGTTTTTGGATCTTATCAGTTCACTGCAACACTGCAACATGACGTACCCATTGTATTCAGCAGAGGCCTCCACTTACAACCATCATGATTGGTTGGTATGCGACTGGGGGAAGTGTAAGTGTCCATCCTTAGTCCCAAGGAAGGTTGTGTTGTATCATCGAATTTGTCCGATTGGATCATTTGATTGTTGGGGTAGAGCGAACAGGACACAAAAGTTTAACATCTCTCATATTAGTCTGTGCTGGGGGGACATAGATGTTCCAAGCATGACAGGCAAAGATGACCTGAGGAGCAAGTGCTTAGAGGGATAGGCCCCCAAATAGATTTTAAAAAGTAAATCCCCACTAGACATGTATTGGAATCCGTTTCTATCTATTTGGGAACCACTATGTTTTTCTCTGTGAGTCAGCCATGTTGATGCTGCCACAGAAGTTCTTTCAATCCATGTGTGTCGCCTGTCAGACTGGCTCATCGAAGTGTTTGGTGTCCATAGGGAGACTCCTTGGACCGGGTTTTGGTCGATGTTCCTCCCGGGGGAGGAGGTCGAAGTGGGAGGTTTTCCTATTTGAAGTCCTATTTTAATCCGCACCAGGAGGTGATTTGATCTATATAGATGATTTGATAAGACATCCATATCTAGTTGATCACCAGGAGGTGACTTGATCGCTTCCATAGCGTGGGACTGGATTGATCCGTGGAATGATAGGATTCTTCCAGCGAGCACCTGGCAACTTCAGCGAAGCCGTTCCTTCGAAGCTTTGGGTCTCCATGAGGAGAAGTGGAAAGACTCCAGTGATCTCACACAACTTTCTTCGTACTAGTAGCTTCTTGTTACTAGTAGCGATGGCCTCCAACCTAGCCCATGCCTCCACCTAGTAGCTTCTTGTTAATAGTAGAAGTACTAGTAGAAGTATACAAGTCGTTGTATTTAATGTCCATAGATTCTCCGGGGGGGGTAACCTTTGGCCTTGGGCGCTTGAACAAAGAGGCTGGTGCATTTGCACCTGGGACTTGCTGACTGGCTACACTATGTTCACTACTTGTGTCCTCTCAGCCCTGTATTGCTTGCGCTGTCAATGCAAGAAACCACCGTTAAGCACTTGTCGACACCTCCAACAATGCTCAAATGCAGCTTTATGATATATAGTAAAACATATTTAAAACTAAAACCATCTTCAAGCAGAACGTGGGACAGAATTGATGCTTCACATTGCATCGGATTGCTTGGGTTATCCCCACCCACAGCAGTCCAGGCAGACTCAGGCTCAGTAGACAGGTTCCGACTGAACGACAATAAAACACGTCTTGGGTTCAAAAGATTACCGTCAAGTTACCCAAGGTGCAACTGCTGGCTGTTGCTTGGGGCAAGCCATAGGCAGAGGACTTCAAATTCTTGCACCTGCTTGAAGATTCCAAAATTCAGCAGAAAACTAGTTTCTCTTCAACTACCATATATAACTTCAGTTTTTCTGCCCAGGTTCATAATATGTTTGGGTACTCTTAGATGAATTTATTGTCCCCTAAGAGTTGCCAATCGACGCGCGTTTCACGGTGCTACTCAGGAAAGGGGTGCTCCACGGTTGTCAGCCGTCACGGACAATGGCGACCATGGCTTGGGGTTTTATATGTTCCTTGGAATGCCTAGTAGTCTTAGCGCCAGTGCCAGATTTCTCGCTATTCCGGCTTCGCTTGTTTGTTGAAGTGGTATCTCGTCATGAGCTGACATCGAGAAACACAACTCGTTAGGTTGTCGTTGATTTAAACCAATGATAGTGGATTGACACAGGGCTGCTCGCCAACATCACATCGGCCGAGTTGGACACTGCTTCACTTGGATCCGCTCATGACCTTTTCGCGATAAAATGGCCAGAGCGGTTTGGGCCCCACTAAACGTAGATAATATATCACTTTGAACAAGGTGAAGTATGGTGAAGTGCGTGCCCCAGTTGTTGAAGGGCTCTTTCCTTAGTGACTTATTAAAGTACATCTCACCTATTGCAATAAGACACATGTGTTCATGACCCGTGGACTGTGCTTTGTGATGCTTCCCTTAAATCAGACTACAAGGACCTCTTTCAGTGAATTGAATCAGATCTGTGGCCCCTAACTGGAACAGCAACTGTGAGTTTCGAGGCCATCGCTGCAGCACAAGCGCCTTGGCACTACCTTCAGCTGTTACTCGGATTGCCATCCCAGTTCTTACCCATTGGAGGGAAGTCTGAGACGAACGAAACGAGAGCAATGAGACGAACCAGTGTCACGTTGTCCCGTTGTCCCCATTTTGGCTGCGGGGAGATCCAGAGCACACGAAGAAGAGATCCAGAGAACAGGTTGAGATGCACAGGAAAAGTCCACAAGTAAATGAGATGCAGCACCTGTAGGGACCTAGAGAGTGAAGAAAGGCATTCCCTGAAAAAGGCAATCAGGAACCATGGCATGCAAATGCCCATATCTATCAAGGATCCAAGATCATTGCCTTGATTTAAGATGATTTAAGCCCTGTCGGCATTTTTGGGTGAGCCAGAGCAACAATGAGCCGCATCAGGTGGAGAATACATTGAGACTTTCCCACTGCTCAAGTGTAGATTCCAAGTGTTTTGCTCTTTGATTTCTCTCAAAAAGGGCTCATGTCAATCTCAAGGATCGATGACACTTGGACGGCGAGCGCCAACCGTTGGCTGCAGCAACTCACCAGCCGTGACGACGGGCACAATGCTGATAGCCCTCACGAGCCACGGCTAGGGTCAGATTAGGCGCGAAGCGCTTCCAGTTTGAGCCACCGACACGCAGGGCCCAGTTGATAAGGACCCCAGGAAAGTTACGGAGCAGGTCCCTTGAGGAACCCAGGAAAAGAGGGCACAGCAGTACATGAAAGTTTCTGGAAATTCCTACCCGTTGACGGATGCTGCCATCGAGCCCCTTTGAAGATTGAGTGAGAAAGATAACCTTTTCTGCAGTACCATTGGGATGGATTTGCATGGATATGTGTTTGTGATTGTTGATGTGTCCCTTTCCCCTCTCCAAAGCTATGTCCCAGACCCAGAGGGTCATGGTTAACAACAAAAACATATTGGGCAACCGAGATTAACTCTTCAATTCATCCAGGATGACGTCGGAACTCCTGAGGCGCACTTCTCCTACGCGCGAATAATTTGTTCTAACAAGCCCAGAATCAGCCCAGAGTATTGTCAGGAAGCTTCGCAGTACTTCTCCTACTACTGCTCCTCGGCGAAGCACCCACAGAACTGGATTCGGTCTTCTGTAGATGTTTGATGATGAAAGAAACACATACGTAATCAGAATTGTAATGTTGATTAATCAACCATCAACATCATTGCAAAAAGTAGAAAACAACAAACACAACATTCAAGGGCCCAAAGATGACACAAAAAAGCCTTTTTTGTGCAGATGGCCATGGGTGATGACGCCGTAGTTGCCAGTGGAAATTTGATATAAATCTCCGAGTCCTAGCAAACGGAGAACAAAACCTCGCTCTACCCTTGTAGAAACCTGCCAAGAGGTGGCTAGGGTGTTTTTCTCCAAACAGATCAGTGATGATCAGGCTTCTCAATTCCCTTTTGTTTTCGTTGTTGTCTCCTCACTTGTCACTCCTCCTCGCGTGGTTGTCACAAGGTGGGCTTCCTGTTGTCTTCCACTTGTGTCCCTGTGTCCCCCGTGTCTTTGTTTCAGTGTCAGCAGTGCCAGTACACATTGGAAGCATCAGTTTCTTGGTTTTGTCCTCCTTTGCTTTCTAATTACACCTTCAGGTATCATCCATAGTTCCACTTGGCGAATGGCTCTAGGGAGCTGAGCCAAGGTGATGCCAATGTGGACCATTGCGGCGGCTTAGCGTCTCGGCGGCTTAGCGTCGTCGGGCGTCGGGGAGGATGGGCCTGGTGGGGGTAGGCAATGGCGGTGAATCCCTGTCCCAAGGCCACTCAGACGTTTTCTTGGATTCTTTTGTGCGACCAATTTTCTTTGGGGACCCGTTTAAGGAGGATCTCCGTTTTCAAAGCTGCCCGGTCCAGATGCCCTATGAATCCCTTCCAGTATGTCCGGTTCGGACATTTAGAAACACCTGTTACGCATCTCTCTTCCCATCAGCCCATCAGCCTCTGGCAGCCTTTCCTGGTCGTGAGGCTGAAACCCCGGTTTGGGTTTCAGGTCATGACGGTCTGCTTGCGTATCAGGAATCAAACCGGTTTTGCTTAAGTTAGTGGGCTCATTGCTCAGCTTTTGATGGCTAGGTCCCAACTCTACTACCCCAAGCACCGCCAGAAAAAGACCCGACACAACACCCGGAAGCACCTCCAAGAGGAGCCATGTACTTTGGACGTGGGACGTGTCAATTTGGTGCAGCGAGGACACCAGCATCACGGACTTTTTGGAGGGATGGAGGAAGGTCTCGCGGAAGAAATGGGAGACCTGGGAGCCTTGGAGCCAAAGCAGTACCGAACGCTTCGTGGCCGGCGAGTTCGTGGCGGAGTGGCGTGTCGGCGGGCGTGTCCGTCATCACGAGTGAGGAGTGGACACTACTTTGGTGTGAAGGATCTGTCTAGTTGGATGGTCCTAGTGTTTCCCACGTTCTGGTTGATGCTCTAGAATAGGGTACTAGAGGATCAGCTAATACAGTACCATCAACAAGTGTTTATAGAGCCCTAGAAACATCTAGAAACCATGAACCAGCATAGGTCAATGCCAGTAATTTGTGTGTCTTAAAACAAGGCAAACAGACCTCTTAAACGGCATCCTTCAAAGCTCGGAGATTTTAACGAAGGCTTCTGCGGCGGGGTCTTCATTGAGGCATGCTTCCCTCTACTCGATGTGTTGGTGTTTTCCCATACATCAGCTGGGGAAAGAACACAATTTCAAGCTTCACAACCCCACCAAGCATTACAGTACGTAGGTAGTGTATTCGTTCCACCTGTATTTTCCATCCAACAACCACCCGAACTGGGTGGCTACAACAACCTCTTTATACTAAAACAATATTATGTTTGATAATGTCATACTATAATCAGTACAATTCATTCACGGCTTGTGCTCGCCATGTCTCAACAACTCGTCCCTTTCACTACCGATTGTTCAGCGAAGAAGTGCTCCTCAGGATTGGGGCACCTTGAAGAGCCAGTGGCTGGGCGGTGTGGAAGAAATCCGCTTTGTACCGGGTACGGGCGCCAGTTGCGAAGGGTTTTGGATGTGAATTTGCAACAAACAGCTCACCCTCACATCACGATGGTTGTTACGTTCCAAAAGTTTTTTGTGACTGTTATGGTTTGTGCTTTTCTGCTTTTGGGATCGCTCTTTTTATGTGTGTGATGTTGCATTTTGATATGCATCGATACCCTTGTTGCACTAGTAGTTGTTGATGCACCACACGAGTCATAAAGTCGGTGCTCCGTTTTTTGGAACGGTCGGCGTTGACCCAGCACCCGGGTTTGCGGCTCATGCACGGAGTCGATGTGGTGTTTGTCCCAGCCAGCCGGCCGTTGACCACGGCACCCTGATTCATCATCATCATCATCATCACCGGATTCCAATTCTATTTGAGTGAGATTTGTCAATATTTGTCATAATCAATCATATTCATCAATCAGAATCATCTTCAAGTCTATTTGTGAGATATGTTTTCGAACCCGGATTGATGGTTGACCCGCCGGTGAAAAACATTGTATTTGTCATGGGGGTGCTTGTATGTTGTTTTGTTTACAGTAAATAGAAATAGTTGGCTGGGCCCCTACTTCATTTATCCGCATTCCATCGTGTTTACATTTGTTAGCTTTTTTGGGCAATGCTCTGGAAGTTCCGTTTGTCCATTCCTTTGGATGAAAGCATATGGACGAACTAGCAATTTGAAATATACTGTAGACTGTAGACAGGAGTGGTGGAAGTCCTGCCTGTTTGCAGTCCAGCTGTGAACAGGCCTTTCCAACCCTGGCCGTTCCGGCCACCAGCTAGAGAGGCTTTGGGTCAAAGCAGAGGAGGGTTTGGCTACTGGCTACTGATGTTGGCCCACGTGGCATAGGAGGGATTTCCCACACAGGAACAGTCTACTCCTGCAAATGCAGCTGGTTGGAACTCCTCAAGAGTTCAACGAGTTCATTCCAAAAGGGCTTTGAGGACGGATACATTTGTGTTGGCTTTCTGACTGAAGTCTGGAACCGCGTCAGGAGAGGTGAGTCTAGCAGTTGCCGGAGTTCATCCAGCAATTTACCCGAGTTTGCACCCACCCTGACTGGTTTGCTGTTCATGTTGGTCCTGGTATATAAGGTTTTGAAAGTTTGAGCTCTGCGGGGGACGGACTTACTACACTCCGACGAACACATCAGATGGAAGTGGAGTTCACCCTCCCGGTTCGTTCCAAGGAAAGTAGTCTTCCTTTCGGCACCATGCCATCCACTTCCATTTGTTCGTCGGAGTGTAGTTTTGTTCCAGTCACAAAAGGGTGCTGTTTAGTCCCATCCAGTGGACTGCTAGTTCTTGCGTTTGGTTTGACATCGAATGTCTCTACCCGGGGCCAGCGGCAAGGTATAGCCAATGCACCCGCTCAAGCCTCGTGGCAGGGATTTTGTGGCGCGAGGGGGGTTGGGGTTGGGGTGGTTGGCTCAGTAAACACCAAAGAGCTGGAGATTAGAAGCAGGCCTTTGTGTAAGAACATGTAAGGACAATAGTAAAAGAAGAAGATCACAATGAGGTATTAGGATGGCATATGTGACAGATGAAGCGCACATATTGTTTTCCGTGACGTATATGCTTTCAACCTTGCCACCTGGAAGCTCGCCACGCAGCTTTGCGCTGGAGGTGTTGCACGGCGTGCAACGGCTGAGGTGAGATTTGCCAACTTCCCTTGAAGCACTACGGCGCCTTCCGGGAGAGCGGGGTGGTGACGGGCTAAAGACGGGCCAAGAGTAACCAAGGAACGAGAAGGATGTGACCTCCCACAAGTATTCCAATTGATGTTTAAAAAAAAGACGGGACTAAGGAGAAATGTAAGCAGTGGTCCCGTTTTAGCAAACCATGGCTGATTCATTGTAAAACGATAAATAGTTAAAAACAGATAACCCTCATATAATATTAATACATGCAATAGAGTACATGAGAATTGAAGCAAATAGCTTTCAAACCCAGTTATTGCTTTAAGGTGCATTTCTTTTAACAACAGTGTTTCATGTCAAGTTTTCCGTGTAATACATGCATTCAGGATTGATTTCTTCTTTGGCTCCTTGAACATCGCTGGGACATGGGTAGGCACTTGCTGATCCATGGGTAAGTAGTTGCATGTACATGCATGGATTCTAAATCAGTGGATGCTAGGCCGACAAGTCAACAGCACCCATGGGAATCTTTCTTGAGAACATGTTGTAGTAAGTGTTTGAGTCCACAGCCGCGCTGGGGGAGCATCGCTTGGGCGGCAATGATGCATATGTCCTATGGCTGAAAGTGCCTTGAATGAGCAGCCAAACTCGCACTTGTTTATTGCGAGGCTTTTGTGTTTTTTGTTTTCCCCATATGTTGGTGTCTTTGCTTGAACGGCTTCAGGCTGCCAATGGCACCCGTCGTTCCAGAATCAGCAGCCGTGCATCTAAATCAGATGCAGAGGACTTGAAGAGCATGCTTGAGAGCCATTCCAATGACATGAGCTTGGAGGAAATGAAAGACTTATGCTTAGCACACAGGAAGAAATCCAAGAGGGGCCCCGGAATCGCCGCCAGAAGGGGCAGAACGGTAGGCGCAAGTATTTTTGGTTGAAGCCTGCTTAGCCCAGGCAGACATACCTCATGTATGTCACTGAAGTACGAGAGCAGACAGCGGAAGCCTCCAACAAAATGATCGACGCAGTCTTGAAAGAGTGCAATGTGGAAGCCACTGGCGTTCTACGCTTGTGGTCGGATTGTGGACCGCATTTCCGAAGCAGTGAGAATTTGGCACATCACATTGAGCTGTGTAGTGCCCGGAAGCAAACAGTCAATTGCTCTTTTCTAGGAGAGCAGCATGGAAAAAATGTCTTGGATTCGGCATTCTCTGTTGTCAGCTTGTGGCTAAACAACTATGCGCAAAAAAGGCCAGTACACACTGTTAAGCAGCTGGTCACAGCAATGCAGTGTGGAGCTCAAGACACCATGAGGAATGACCCTGAAGGGCCCACTTGGAAGTGCTCATTGATTGATTTTGGAAAGTTCCGGCAGCAGAAAACAAACTACCTCCGCTCATCCGATTTCAAAATCACCCGAACTTATTGTCTCCTTGCAAAGCCCCCCAGGCTTGCAACGGGCGCCTGCAGGCTCCAGAACAGCGTCTACTCCGACCTGGATCCAGGCAGCGCCTGCCAATATGACTTAGTACAACATGAGCATCCTGAGCCGGTGGAATGGAAAAAGTCGTTCTTTGAAGGCCACAAGACTTGGGAAGACCCACCGCCTGACATTGGTGAGGTCACTGTCTTGCATCGACGCCATGAAAGCCAGAAGCACAAGAAAGGCGATGGTAGATTGCACCCAGTCAAGACTTTCCAGGACAGGGTGCGTGCCAAGGCGCTCCGAACCATCAAGGAGAGGGCCAGGGTGCAAAGAAAACTCGCTGCTCTCAGTGGTGACAAGATGGCTTCAGACGCCAAGAGCTCAGACTCAGACAGTTCAAGCTCCTCCTCTTCCTCGGACTCTGAAAGTGCATGAGAGTGCTGGACCAGCCTGGAGTGACAAAAAGTCATGCACTCATGCGCCCAACTGTTTTTCGAAGAACACATGGGACCTCATATTTGTGCTGCGAGTGACTGACATTCTCGATTGATGCGCAAAGATGCACAGCTGCACACAAAAAAAATCAAAACCAGTGAATGATTGCGCAGGCACCAAACTATTAATGTAGAAGAGCGCCTTGTGTTTCTCACTAAGAGTAGCCTAGGCCTTGCGCATCTCAATCAGAAAAGGGTGAAAGTCTGGGAGGGCTGGTCGGTGGGCATACCAGAGCATGTGGCGTGCTTGTGGTCAGTGCTCCTGCAACTCAATAACATCTGCCACGCTGAAGTCTCTTTGAGGAATGGCTGGCAAGGAAAGAGCTTGACAGCGGCAGGCCACTGCAATCATTGGAAAGCAAAATCCACCCAACGCAATGCACATACTCACATGCACACACATACACAACAGACACCAACTTGTTTGCAGTGCAGGCAGGGACATATGTGGTTGGTTGGGAAATGGTAAGAGACTGCATATTGATTCCCAAACATTGAAAAACGATAAAGAGTAAAAAACGATAAGGCTGTAAGTGGTTATGCAAAATGTATAGGGTTTTTTTTAACACATCAATTGTTGTTGTCATGTTTTCCGCTTACAGAAAGAAAGAGGCGCTCAAAAAGTGTTAGTGGCAGCAATACCAAGACGCCCTACGGTTTGGCCTTTTGAAGGTAGAGCCACGAACCCAGTGACTGATGAGATCAGAGCACAATGACCCACCAGACCCTGTTTGACCGGCTTTGACCCACAAACTGTTCCACCAGTCTCAGTATGTTATTTTGGCAAGCAAACTAGTTCACAAGCAAACTGTTTAGCAAACTGTTGTGTATTTTGTTGTTATTTGCAAACTAGTTTGGAGCAGAGTTCTTCAACTCTTCTACTCTGATTGCATGCGATTTGTAGCAGGGTTTCGGAGCACTGAGCACGTGTCCCAACCAGGTGGTAAAGATATGAGGTCACGGTTTGGTGAGACTGGTTTGACGGGGAAGGACAGTGTGAGAAACGGAGGGTTGGAGGTTCGACCAGCAATCACATGATGGTACTGTGCAAGGTGTCAAGTAATTGTCCTTGATTGTACTCGAGCAAACTGCTGCGATGTTTTCAGAAGATATGTCCTTCTAATCCCTTGCTGCTTGCAGCATTTTGTGAAAACAATATTCGCATTCATTGATATTTGCAAGACTTTTAAAGGGATGTCCTTCCTATGCCTCCTATTCCTTGCTAATTGCAACATATCGGACCTACTCGCCCGCAAACTCCTTGCTACTTTACAACATGTTTTATATAACAACAACCTGCACATTCTTTGCTTTTGGCAGCACGTTGGAACAAATGTTTTTTCTGATTCCTTGCTGTTTGCAACATTTTGAGACAACTAACCTTCATATTCGTTGCTATTGGCTTTGGAAGGCATGCCATTAATGTCCTATGGTATTTGCAGCACTTTGGAACATACACCTTTGTATTTACACCCTGCGGGTTGTTCCGCCGGCCTTTTCAGCCGATGGTCCCAAGATGCGGATTACCTTTTGCGTCGAGAGGAAAGACTGCAACAGAGCAGAAAAAGTAACAGCATCATCCAGAACACAGCTGGAGCAACAGAGGAGCCTACATGAAATGACGTGCATTATGACACAATCAGAGAACAGGGAGATAAAATTGGGGGATGCAAAGTATAGCCTGCCAAGCAAGAAGACAAATTATATGACATGTGACACAATGAGCGAAGTAGACCGTGCGAAGCAGCAAACGTACATAGCATTCCGTCAGACATAATACAAGAGAGTAATGAGGACATGTGTGGCATGGGGATTTCCAAGCAGTCTGAGTCTGCAAAAAACGATAGATACGTGAGTGCAGGTGCAAAACCTGAGAAAAACGCATGCAAAGCAGAAGCGCAATGCATGGACAACGACAAGTGAAGAACGACGATAAGAAGGAAGCGCACACAACCTTTCACTTTAGCTATGATATATGTGAGCTACATACATTCGGGATGTTCTTGGGGGGGAGGGGGGGTCAAGTTAGACGAGGCAAAAACTTGCTCCAGAGACACTTTCCTTATTACATATAGATTCAACATAACTTAAGCTACATACAAGCCACATTGATAAAACACGCCGGCGCCCCAGGGCCGGCGGATTCCTTGCTATTTGCAGCACTTTGGAAGGGTTTATTTCATATTTTGCGCTATTTACAGCACTTTTGAACGCATCAATTTCCATGATATATGCATTGAAATTTCAAAGATGGAAATGTTTTGAGCGCTTGTTCGGGCGGTCCTTTTGTTAAACGCGTCACTTGTGCTGTGTTTAACAGGCAGATGCCAAAGATAGAAGTTCTAAAAGCTCGATTGGATCACCAAGACCATAGTCATAGAGCCAACCCCGCATCTCAGTATCAAGTACCCTTCCTCATACGGCCCGTGGTTTCTGAACCAGCTTCCTTTCCTTCGCATTTCCAGACTTTTTGCTGGGCCTTGAAGGTCGCGGTGGTGTCGGCCACGATCGGGCTGGAGCTCCGAGGTCGAGCTCAGGCGCGCCGTCTCTTCATTGCGCACATCGTTCAGAGTTTCAAGACTTATCATCTAGATGTTGGAACTTCCAGGGTTTTGTTTCTGACATCTAGATGATAAGTCTTTTGTTTCAACCTCCGCGTCAGGGCACCCGTATCCTAAGGACGCAAGATATGTAAGGACTTCCAATCCCAATTATGGGGCCTTTCCAAACTCAACATTGAGAGGCTTGAGGTCATTGCAGGGCGACTCCTTTATCATGTGATGGAATGGCAAGCAAGCATCCCCAGCAGACTGGCTTGTTCATCATCAAACTCAACTACTTCTGCTATGGGCTTCAACAGATGAAACCAACACAACTAATGGTGCTTATGCGTATTATGCCTTGGCGACGCAACGAAGTCACCGTATGGACAGTCAACACACATGGACAGTGCGCCCAGGCCGAGTTGTCCTGTCATCCTTCAGTGAGACTAGAAGAAGTGGGATGAAGAATCAGGTGGAAGAATTCTAGTGGCTGTTTTGAAACCAAGAGAATTCTAGGATATTCCACGGTTGTAAGAAGTATTCCCCCAACTTATATTACATATACATTATCTATAGTATTTGCACACATTGTCAGTCATTTTTCCAGGACTGTGTCGGTGGAGGGCTACACCGCTGTCCGCTCCCTCCCCTAGCTGAGGTGCCGCACCTGGCAGGCAGCGCAAGCGCCGGGGCCTCAACGATGCGATGGATGACCCTTCGTTCAACCAAAGCGGCTGAGGTGCAAATAAAGAATGAAAGCGTATGAGGCTCTATGACTTGTGACATTTTGCTGCGGAGTGGAACCCGTGGATGGGCGGCCACTGCGGCGCTTCTTTCTTCGGAGAGAAACGCCGGGGGGCCCGCTGCGATATTCAGATTTCCGCCTGAGTCAGAAAGTTCTGCCCGAAGGCAGTTTTAGAGAATTGTGATGTACTATGTTTTGAGAAACTTTTCATGGTAGGGTCTGGACAAGGTTCATGCCCATCTGTCGCGTGACCCGGGCTCGGTGCCGCCGAGCGGCACCGTTCCGAGGTATCTGGGACATAGAGTGTCTCTGCGCTGCTGACGGGGCTGCGCCGGAGCTTGAGCTGGAGGCAACGGTCGAGGCGGTGGCGTGGAGCCAAAGAAGACCGAAAGCAGACAGGTTGTAGCAAGATGAAACGGTAATGTGTTGTTGGACCGAGGCTGCAAACCTGGGCTGCACCGTGGCCGCGGCCCAGGCCTGGAGCGCACAGGTACAAGCCTGGCTCACCCTACAGAGCGCACGGGCGCAAGAAGGGCCGCCAAGAGACTCCGGAGGCAGGAAGGAAGAAGGTGGGGCAACCAAAAGACCGGGTCCCACGACAGGGCCAAGAAGCTACGGCTGGCCGAAGAAAGGAAGGCAGCAAAAGAAGCCAAGGCTGCCAAGAAGAAGGCCGAGGCCCGGGGCAGAGGTGCTTCTAGGTAAGCGCCCAAGTAATCCCGAGCCCCGACCCAAAAAACGCCCCCGAATGAAAAATAAGTCGAGTCATGTTTCCGACAAATACGGTTTTTTGTTATATTAAAATTTACCGCCCTTTCAAGCCGCTACTGCGTTACCCACATGGCCGATTTTGATGTTCCAAAAAAAACCGTAACTGCCCACCTCTGTCCGCCCTGTCTATCCAGCATGACAAGCCGCGCTTACATCATCACCTCACACGCATTTCATCATGACACCTTTGGTAGGTGTGCAGGGCGGGGGCCTGCAAAGAGGACATGGCAACTACTGATGCATTCAGACAAGGGCATGGAAGGCCATATCACAGTGTGTATGGGGAAGGTAGTTCAAAAACTAAGGCGCGCACGAAAAACGCGAGTCGCAACTCTTGGAGCGCCCCGGCCCATGGCTCAACCTGGACAAGGGGATTTCGAGTCCGGGACAGTGTACCAGTCTAGTACGTGAAGCAGGGTCCCAGCAGAAACATCAAAAGGGGCTGCCCAAACACAAGCGCGTTTACGCTGGTATCACCAAAAGGGACTAACAACTCGTCGAGCCACGGCCGTAGCCTAGGCCATACTGCCCCGGCACCCTTCGAAGGTCTATGTCTGGTGGGGGGATGGGGACCCCCAAACAGGATACCTGCTCTTCTGTTCTGCTCCTTAGAGACAGGAGTTGACACACACACACACACACACACATATATATGTATATATACACCTGAAATATTAGTGAAAGTTGAGCGCTAGGTGCCCAAAGTGCTGCAAATACTAGCGCAAATCGACAGTGAGATGTTCAACATGCTGCAAATACCAGTGAAAAATCAACACCAGGTGCTCAAAGTGCTTTAAATACCAGCGCAAATTGACAGTGGGATGTCCAAAATGCTGCAAATCAACACCACGTGCCAATCGTCAATGGGATGTCAAATACGAGTGAAAAATCAACACCAGGTGCCCAAAGTGCTGTAAATGCCAGCAAAATCAAAACAAACATCATATAGTTCTCAAAACACCTTGTAAATAACCCGCATTAAATAGAAAACAAGTCAAAGAATTAATGTTGCCCTGAGTCAAAATTATGTTTATGTTTTCTGCCATCGTTTTACACAGTGTCATCATAGTTTGCTATTAAATGATGTATATGATATAATATGTTGTATACATCTAAAGTTTGAGATTGCATTCTACACCTCATCCCGCGGACGGAAGAGCCTGTCGGCCTTTTTCCCGAAAGCACCTGCGAAGGGTTTTTCCTTAAGCACTGCTGCCTATTTCATCTTCCTTAATCTCTTTCTCTTACTTCATCTTCCCCACTCTCTCTTCCTTACTCTCTTTCTCTTACTTCATCTTCCCCACTCTCTCTTCCTGACTCTCTTTATCCTACTTCACCTTCCTTACTTCATATTCTTTACTAACTTTCTCCTACTTCACCCTCACAACATCATCATCTAATCATCACCTCATAGGTTAACATCACATACTTCACATCACAACATAACATATGAAGTAGAAGTATCAGATCAACAATATCAAAGTACATCAGAAATAGATATTGATAGGTAGGTATTGATAAGTGGGTATAGACAGGTAGGTGTAGGTAGGTAGGTGTAGATAGGTAGGTGAAGATAGGTAGGTGAAGATAGGTAGGTGTAGACATCTTCCTTAAGACACCTACCCAACTTCACCTACCCAACTTCTTCTTTATTCTTCTCTTTAGGCGGCGGGGCGGTGCGAGCAGGTCTTACGAAACGCAACCCTCTCGTGGAATCGTGGCCATCGATCGCGC